GCAAACCAAATGCATGGACATACCTGTTGAATCCAAGATAGACCGTGCCAAATGTGCCTCTTCCCAGAAGCCTTCCTTTTTTCCATTTTGATAGATTAACAGTTGAGGCTTCAGCTATACCACAAGTTCTAGGAATTGGCAAAGTAGAAGGCCTGGTAGGAGAAGCCGGTAGAAGATGATTAGGAAATCCGGGTGGAAGAGGCAACCGGTAGCCTTCACTCTTCCCTTCATCCAACCTTCCTGCTGGAGTATCCAAATTAACACCTCCAGACCGAGGATGCAGAGGTGAAGAACTGGTTGTAGGCACCCTTGAACGAACAGGGCTTTGTGAGACTGGACTATGCCGGCTATCACCAATTCCCCCTCTGTTGTTTAACAGGAAATAAAAATGTTTCTGCAATTAAGACTTACTCCACCTACTGAAAAATGACTTGCCCGACCTACCAAACAATAAGAATAAAAATACCAGAAAACCACTTAAGCTAAGGGACTCATAAAACCAGATCTGAGTAAAGTGGCAGTGAAACAAAGACTCTGGGGAAAAGAGTCTGGTCAACAATACATTCTCCCTAGTTCCGAAAAAAAAAGCGCCTATCAAGTTAAGAGTGAAACTGCAATAATCTATCTCTCCAACCAGGAAACCTAGGCAAAATTTTCTGAAAAAAAAAACGAATCTTTGCTGACAAGGGTGCAAAAACAGACCTGAAAGAGGAGAACTGAGAACGATCGATGCGGCTATGATCATCACATGAGCCAGAAGAGCTAACACTAGATCCTGAATCAGAGCCAGATGCAAATCCTACCCCGTGATCATTTCCAACAGAAGAAGGGGACACAGACGGCTCCGGCAGCGGATGTCCTCTGTCCATGGAAGAAGGAGAATCGAAGCCTGAGAATCCAGAAGAACCTCTGGCGCTAGGGAAATCTCTACTGGCTCTGGTTGAGTTCCTGGTTTCCTCCATACCAGAGAGCTCGCCGAAGCTCTTAGGTCTCTCTCTTCTCTCTGTAAGTTCATTTTTCAAACTACTGGGAGAATTTGGGGAAAGAGATTTTGGGTCTTTTGCATTCCTCTTGGTGGATTTTTTCCCCCACCAAGCAGGCATTTCGCATGAACTACCTGCGAGCACGAAGAGGGGAGCGAGGATTTAGGAATTTGGTTCTTCTGCAGAAATGGAGAGGGGAAGTAGGAGAAACAAGAAAAAAAAGGAGAGATAGAGATAGAAAATTAAATGGAGCTTGGAGCCTTGTAGAGTAGGAGACCTGGATTTAGGGGAATGGGATTTGGGTCCCTTTCCCACAAATGCCAACCATTAGTTTAACATATTTAAGCCTTGCTACTTCATTCCTATGGTTCTCTAGTTATAAATCGTTTTATATATTTAAACTTTAGTCCTTACATTCAAATATTGCTAATTTAGTCCACAATTATTATATCATTTTTTATGAATGGTCCTTTGTTAACGTCTTTGTTAAGAACATGGATAAAATTATATATTCATACTTTTCTCTCTCCTCAATTAAGCTTCCTCCATCCTCTCGTACTCTTTCCCAAATTTGTCGTTGAGTTTGAAACTCTAAACCCAAAACTGAAATGATCATTTCTCTCCCAATTATTAGTCTTCCTGGTGAAACCTAAAATCAAAACCAATAAGATTTATGGATGAGTTTTATCGGTTAGTCTCAAGAAATTGCAAAGAAAATAAACATCAAAACTCATCCATGAAGGTTACTCGTCCCTTTCAAATTTGGATTCCACCAGTTAGACAAACAATTGAGAGAATAGTGATGATTTCCCTTTTGGGTTCAAAGCTTCAAACTCACCGACGAGTTTGGAAAAGGAGTGCGAGGAGAGGAGGAAGCTTAATTGAGAGGATAAAGGAGTGTAAATTTACAATTTTATCCACGTTCTTCACGGAAATGTTAACAAAGAACCATTCGTGGAAATGGATATAATAATTGGGGACTAAATTAGTAATATTTGATATGTAGGAACTAAATATGTAAAACGACTTATAATTGAGGACCTTTAATCGAATTTACTTATTTCTTTTTTATTTTAACTTGGCACAAAGGTTAAACAAATTTAAAATGTAAAAATTTTATGTTTGTCTTTGATGTGTCATAATAAACTAAATAGTATAGATAAAAAGTTAGGGTGTAATGATAAAGTTCTTTTTTTAAGGCGATGATAAAGTTCTTGACTAAAATAGGAAATAGGAAAAAAAGTTGGACAACCCAAAAAAAAAGTGGAAAAGTAATAAATGGACGGAGGGAATATTAAATTTTATAAATTTTATTCATTAACAATATTATAAAAAATAACCTGAAATAAGGGTAAAACCTAAAATTCATCTTTAAAATAAAAGTTCTATGTTTTTTTAAAATAAAGGTTTGTATTGTGACATTATGACACTGCACAGTGGCATTCGACTATATTTTTGCTATTAAATATTGCTGTTATTGACCTTATACTTCTATTTTGGAGATAAAAAAACTTGATCAAACTCTTATTTTGATACTTTCTTCACGTTTTATTTGTAGTTTATTCTTTTTTCCTATATTATATTAATATTATATTAAATCCATACTCGTGCATTGCATGGGAAGAATATCTTTCAATATTTTAAATTGACTTAGGCTACGTTCCATTCACCTGATCTGATCTGATTTAATCTAAATTTTTTGAAGATCTGATCTGGTTTGATCTGATCAGATTTGACTTCATCTGATTGCATTTATAATTAAAGTTTTTCTGATATGATTAAATCTGGTCTGATCTGGCTATAATAAAAACAAGTAAGAAGCAGGAAAAAAAGTTGCACGAAACCTGCCTTAAATGTTGAGTCATAATCTGCACTTTTCGTGTGCAAATGTGCAATACACTAATACACATTTAGATTTTTTTAAATGGACATTATAATATATTCGTACCTAAAAATCTTATTTTGGCTTTACAAAACTTAAAAAGTAAAAATGTGTTGATTTAATTTATATTAAGAGAGTTAATTGGCCACATCCATTTCTATTAACAAAAATAAAAGATATAACAAAAATAAAAGATATTTTGTAAAAGTTTATCATGGAGTATGAGACATAAATGAAAATGAAAAGCAAAAATTTCATTTACAAAGGGAGGAAGTATTTTTTTAAGATATGAATTCCAAACAATACAACAAAGAACTTCACAATCTTCGTTCTTTCTCAATAAGTTCTTGGTAACTAGACTCTTATCCGTGTGTTGCACGGATTAATTATTTACTAAATAATTGAGATTAGATTAGAAGAAAAAAAATGAGTAAATTCTCAAAATAGTCCTTTTTAATAATGTATTATCCCAAATCAGTTCTCAATAAGTTTTAATTGTCTACGTGATCCTCTATAATTGAGATTTATTCCCAATTCCCAAGATAATCTTTCGTAAATAATGTTATTCAAAGGAGGATT